GCAAAGAATCCTGCTGCGCTTATCTCTGCTGGCTGCAATCGGCTCTTGGGGTTTTCGCCTTCATCTAGGTAACCAAATTGGCCTGCCTCTAAGTCTGTAGAGGCTCCCTGACAATCATAAAGCTTTAGTTGGATAGTCCAATCCTCAAATCTCCTTGTGACACGAGTCCCTTCTGAGAGAGGGCTTTGCTCCGCGGCGCTTGCTGCCGCTGTGGGGGGCTGATGCTTTGTATGCGACAACGCTTTAAAGAGAGCTTCAGGCGCTCCTTCTGGTGACAGATATCCCTCCAAGACCGCAAGGAGGTACTGCAGCTGGTCTTCGGCCATGATTGCTTTAAAGGAGCTGTCTGGGGGAGTAAGTGGTCGAGAACAACGAACACCCTCTGAACGCATTCCAGTTCCTAAATCCGCACAAGTAAAGCTACCAAGCCGCGAGCTTGAGCTCAGCTCAGCTGTAGATGATGGCTTCAGCATGCCCTTAAGAACAGGGAGCAGCCAACTAGGAAGACTTTCCCGGCTTTCTCGGTAAGCGCAGCTGATGAGCATCCAAAGAGCTTCTTGGAGGTTACAGGGGCTACTTTGGCGATGTGGGGTTCCTGCTGCCGCAGGACCCCCTGAGGGGCCTCTTAACAGCAATTCTATGCATTGGCTGGCTACTGCCAGCGGTGCCGCTGACGACCCAGAACCAACGAACAAACAGCAAACCAACAATTGCAACAGATGACCTCTTGAAAGCGGCTGCAGCTGCAGCTGCAGCAGCGCAAACAACAGCACACGCCAGAGCAGTAGAAACCTCTCCAACGTGAAAATACCAAAAAGGAGTCTGGACAATACTGCAAACGCTACTAAGCCAGGGCCAAAGACCCCACGCCCAGTGCACTGCGTTCGTGAAATCTAGGGCCTCGGGTTCTTTACTGGTCAACAAGACCTACCGCAAGCGCTTCAGCGTCGCCATAGAAGACTTCCAGCAGTCGCCGGCTCGCAAACCCAAGTCCTCCTCCAGTCTCCGGAAGACTCTCTCCTGCCTCAGCCAGGAAGCCTTCAGTTCTTGAAGCGGCCGGCAGGTCTTTTTCAAGAAACCCTGAGTCTTGAGTGTTGTCGTGCCGCTGTGAGGTCCCCACGGCGCACTGCCTCTGGACGCCTAAAGCTAGCGGCCGCAGCACTGCTAGCACTCCTTGCGTTTCGTCACTGCCCTGGACGTCCTCTATTCCAGAAGCTCGACTTTTTGATCGGCTCAGCACTCCCAGCCGGGCTGAGCAGGCTCTATCGACTGCATGCAACGCGATCACCTGCAGCATGCCCAAGCCCTTCCTGAGCTCATGAAGGGACCCACAGTGCCGAGAACAGCAGCTTGCCTTGTGAGCTACACTTACTGCGATGGTCACAACACAACTGCAAGTCACCGCCACCTATGCTGAATCTATCTTTCGGGCAAAAGCGTGTTAAAAGACCACTAGGGGCTGTCTCTGGAGCCTCTGGTGATCTTCCTTGTGCTAAGACATCCCCCTAGTCTTGATCTCTATCCGTGAAGCTCAATATCTAGTGCGTACCGTGAAGCCCTCTCCACATACCCAAATACACGCCCCCTAGCTTGGCCGTGAGCACTCACGTAGGGGCACAAGAGGCGAAAGCTTGCGCAACGTCTCCGAGCTCCTTCAGTGGCATGTGCTGGCCATGCGAATAAGCATACGAACAAACAGACACTTTCAACCATTTGCGTTTCGTGGATGTGCATCATTTCTAAAGCTGTCCTTACCCCGCTCGAAAGCGCCGTTAGGACGAATATACAGAAATGGCTTTCAGACCTTGAACCTTCTTTGAAAGAAGAACAGCACTACAAAGTACCGTGGCTGGTACAGGACCCCAGACTGAATTGTTGCAATCTAGGAGCCACTTGGACGCTTAGCTGTCTTAAGCCTGCAGCTTACCGGCAAATGGGGAAGCGTGGCATCGAATACGAGGTCGAGGAGCTCCTGCTGGTATATCGACTTAATGCCTTTAGCTGCAGCTGCTGCTGCTGCTTCTGCTCTTCTTGCCCCTTCGACAACAAGTTCACGTTGCTGCGGCTGTTGTGGTTGTGCCACCGCTGTAGCCTGAAGCCAAAACTTGCGCGCCTCCAGCAAGTGGGCGCGCCGCTGCTGCTGAAGTGTATGAGCGTGCTGCTGCAGCAGCTCAAGCAACTCGAGGAGCTGTGGACGACGAAACGAGGGCATTATGCTCTTAGCTCTTTCTACAAGCGCTTCATACGCCTCAGGTGGAAGGGCAGGCACCGCCGTAGCTTCTCCGGGGACCTTGCAGCTGTCTGTTTGGGGCGCAGCTGGGGTTAGGTGGCCATGGTGAGGGCCCTGCTGGCCATTTTCTTTCTGCCTGGGAGCACCAAGAGCCTCCATAGGCTTTCGTAGAGTCTGAAGCAGCTGGTGGCGGTTGAGGAGGGCAATCGGCTTAGGCAGGTCTACACCGGGAACATAGACCTTTATGCGCGTGTCTTCCATTCTCTCCGAGAGACCTCCCAAAGGACCCCCTGAATCTCTTGCCCAGGGTCCTCCTGATAGCCACGCCCAGTCAGCATCGAAATCCTCAGTCACCTCCAGCCTCCAATCAGTGGGGCCTTCTGTAAAGAAAGCTGGAATTGCCGCAGGATCCCCTGGAGAGCTGCTTCTCCCTTCCCATCCGCTGTTGCCACGCTGACTCTCGGGTTGGTTTTCCATTAGAGCATCATATATGCACAGTGGCGGGGGAGCCTCTGCCTTTCTTTGCTCCCTTAGTCTCTCCAGCTGCTCCCCTGGAGAAGTGCAGGAAGCCGCTGTACCGTATGTCTCACCAGCAGACTCATGATTCTGCATCCCGCGGCTAGCTACCGAAGATGCGTGCCATATCCGTCGCGTGCACATGGGGCCCCGTGGTCCAATTTCCTGAGTTGTAATAACCTGCCAGTTCGCTGCCAACTGTGCCTTCTTCTGTTCCGCTTTAAGCGCTGCTTCATCGAGGTCAGGCCGGGGAAATCGAGCTTGCGCCTGGGCATGCCTCCCAGTTCCTGAAGCTCTCTCGTTGTAGTCAGCGCCAGCAGAGCGTCTCGTCGAATTAAAGGTCCAACTATCCCGTATTTTGGGATCCACTGCACTGCCGACCGAAGCACCGTCGGACTCTGAAGAACGTGCCCCTCGAAGAGTTCCCGTGCCCTTCCCCCTTGCATGAAAAATCTGAAAGCTTCTCACGTTCACAAGATCCCGGAAGTCGTGAGTCAACGGCGAAAGTGTGATACCTCCGAAGGGCAACGAAGCCCCCCATCGACTGGGCAGCACCATTAGGACCACCTTCTACTTGCGTAGGTCTAGGACCCTGGAGGTCGAGAATTTTTGAAATCTAATAAGGGAACCCCACGGTGAGCACATCCGTGGGTAAAGCCATCGGTTCAACAGTGTGGGCTCTGCATCGAGAGGCCCTTGTGTTTGTGAGTGACATCAACGGGGATCCTTTGAGTCAAAATCCGTAAACTTCAAATCCAAGTATAGCCTTAAATATCAATTTGGTGCTGAGGAAGTATAGTGTCCACGGCGCTGTCGCTTCCCCCAGACAGAGATCCCGTGTTACTATATAAGGGCGCGGCCCTTGCGCAGCCATGTCAGAACCGGAGTTTCTCTTCAGTGCAAGGGGTAGTATCGCACGGTTCATATGAAGTAAGAGCAGTCATTAGTATTCAGACTAAATACATAAAAGGCATGGAGGAAACTACTCATGATTTTAAATAATCTTAGTGCCTTGCGTTCTGCAGCAGGTGCTCTCAATAGATGGTCAGCAGCTCGTTAACACAAAATTTGGTAGTGTTTAACGGGTAGCAGATGTAGGAGGTACCAGCAGGTGGCTTTTTTGTACCGTAGGGCTCCCTTCGTAACCAGCGGTCCACTGCCAGCGGGCCTCAGGCGCAGCCGACGTGCCTGTGGTGCGAGAGCTAAATAGTAAATGCCTGTACTGGCCACTACTAGGGGCGCCGGCACTTGTTCTCGTGCAGAATCGAGTGGAAAAGCTGAATACAGCCCCAAAAAGTGACTCAGAAGGATGCAGCAGGTCCAGAAAAAGCAGACTTCATCTAACAGCATGATCCCGCTGCTAACACCAACGCCAGACAAGCTTGGTCCTAACACCAAATTGCAGACTAGGCCTTACGTCTGCGCGATAAAATTCTACACAGTCCGCCGCTTGAGTCGCTCCCGCCTCTTAGCTACCGGATCACGTGCAACTTTGCGGCGACGTAACGGCGCCTCCTGCCTACGATGTGCTTGTAGGCTGTATCCACCAGCTTCGTTATACCACAAGGTTTTCTGTGTTACCTACAGCCTAGCTTAAACACACACTAGACCCTCAGACACTGAACTTTCACCCCTCAATCTTGGCTCCCCTTACTTGTGGTGTGCCTGATCTACAGAAGTTCTCGGCCCTGGGTATATTCTCGCTCAGCTACTAAACTGCTGAAGATGTGCGTAGCTGTTCCTTTTGGGGCCGGAAGTTGCCGTAAAGCTTAATGCCTAACCTCAGGCCCCCTGCTTCTTGGGGACCCCGTTAACAACTATCCACAGTGTGCCCTGTCTTTGTCTTTGTGATCCCACATTGTAAGGCATCAATATGCAACTAGGTCGCAGCAGTTCAAAGACAGCCAAAACTCCTCTAAAAGCTCGGGGAAACGTTTGCGGCGTCGCATTGATGAATCTTCCACCAGCTGTCCACTAGCTTGAAGTCTACCACAATTTGAGATGAGCCTCGAGAAAGCACAAAAGGTCTCAAATACTTCGCAAATACACCCAAGCACATACCCCTCAGAAGTCCCACGGAGCATTTGCTTCTGTGAGACTTTAAAGGACTCCCTCAGGCCCCCTGCAGTCTTCTAAATGCCTCAAACACGTATTTGAGGCACGAAAGGGGATGCAGGCCGTCCAGTCAAACAAAGAGAATCCCCAGGCAATTAGCTCTCTGGTAGGCCGGGGTATACAGACGACAGGCGTGACGCTACGCGACCACAGTCTTGTTCTGCACCTCTCGGAACTGCGGGAATTTTTCCTGCAGGTATTCCAAACACTGCTCTGCAGACTTGCCGGGGTTGGCCAGCTGCCAAAGGCGCTACAACACCCAACACAACAATCCAGCACGGAGACGCTTAATTCTGAGATCTTGCTTACCCCGTAAATGACCAACATCTAAGCTTCATGGAACCCTGAAGCATCTCGGAAAAAAGAGCAGCTGCTGCATCACTGCCCAGTTTGGTACTCTGCTTGATGAATACACTTGTGAAGGAATCGAGTAGCCCAATTCGCAAACTTTTTGGAAGTCAACAGAGCTTCGTTACATTGTGTCAAGGCCTATTCTGGGTAATGTTAGCCAAACCCACTTGCTCATCCATGACAGCCCCCAGCTCGCGCCCTGATGCGCCAGGAAGAGCATGGGCTACCTGTGCGAGAAAGCATAAGCAGAAAGGAGAACAGTAACCAAGACTGTTTGAATAGTAGAAGCCCCTCGCCTTGAATTCAATTGCCACTACATTCTCGTAAGCTCAGGAGGCTGCCCTTCATATGGTTCCGTAGTCCGTTTCAAAACAGCATAAATTGCATGGCTAGATGAGGACTAGCCAGAATTACCTGCAAATAAAAATGCAGCGGCACCATGGCTTACCTGCTTTCCATTGCACAGCGGCTGTAGCTGCCACGCATCTTGCAGGCCCAGCGCCTCAACAGTCTGTTTCAGGTGAACCAGGCGGCGCAACGTTTCTTTTGCTGCCTCCTCTCTCGCCACTAGCAGGCAGTCAAGGGTTGCCAAGCAAACCTCAGGAGCCGTGTCTTCACGTGTTGACTGCGCTGCTGCTGCTTCTGAGCAAAGATGCCCTGCGTGGCCCTCCTGCCCACACAACTTTTTGTGCTCGTGGGAGCTCTCCACTCCGCATGCTCGCTTCCTGTGTCGCTCGTGATGTGCTTCTGTCTCTTTTCCTGTTGCCACTTCTGCATATGAGCTTGTGCACGTCTCTCCTCCCGTCACTGCTGCGCCAGAAGCGGAAATCGCTGCTGCTGTGTCTTTGCAAATGAGAGAGCCCAGTGCCTCTGCTGCAGCAAGTGCAATGGCCTCGCGCCAAGTGGCTCCAACTTGACGCACTAGAAGGCCCAACCGTACTCTCTGTTGCTGCTGTGGTTCCTGCTGCTCATGTTGCTGGCGTTCTTTCTGGCGCATGGTTGCCTCTTCATCAGCTGCCACGCGAAGTAGGGCTGAGTGGACGATGAGGCCTTCTGTTGCTGCAGCATCTGCATTAGGTAACTTCCAGGCGGAGGAAACGACATCCCCTGCTAGGGGTCGCACGCGAGGCACCTTGGGAGAAACAGCCACAAAGTCCCTGACCGGATGCAGCACAGCAGCAAACAGCAGTTGGCGGAGATTGTCTCCTCCTTCTTTGAGCTCTAAGCCCTTCGAAAGGGACTCATACAGGTTTGTCATTTCTGCCGATGCTGCTCCAGAGTCCTTATGCTGAAGTTGCTCAAGCAAGACACGCCGTGCAAGGATGTGCCGCAGAGCAATAAGACAGGAAGCCCCGAGAGGGCCATTCATGAACGTCTCCTTTCCAGGGTCCACGGGCTCCTGTGATGCCTTGAGATGCTCAACCAAAGCCTTCAAAGATCCCCGAGCTTTATTGCTTTCCATGGCTGCGGGACTCTTTTCCTGTCTATATATCTCGTGGCCCTCAGGAAGGCACGTCACTGTCTCCCAAACCTGTAGTTGCTGCATGAGGAGTACACCTCTCACGGCGCCATTGAGCGGGCCTTCTAGCAGCGCCTCCAGTGCAGCGCTTCCTTGGTGTCCGTTTATTTCTGCTGCTACGGTCGATGCGGCTTCTGTTTCTGCTGCTGATTCCAGCTTCTGTTCGCTTCGTTTTGTCACAAGAGAGAAAATCTTCCTAAGCTCAATGCCAACCCTTTCCTTGGCGACCTTTGCCTTGAGCGACTCGCGGATTGGCGGGTCTGCCGCAGCAACCGCAAGGTCCTTCTGTAAACTAAATCTGAGAGTTGCAGCGAACCGGATCCCGCGTAGCAGCCTCAAAGGGTCTTCTGCAAGGGTCTCTCTTGGTACAGGGCTAGAGGCCCTAAGAATGCGTAACTGGATGTCCCTGAGGCCCGACCCGAGCCAGTCCTCTACACGCCGTGTCTTGAGATTGTAGAATAGCGAGTTGCAGCAAAAATCTCTCCTCTCCGCATCCTGGAGGGGAGTCCCGAGCTCAGTGTCGCTGGGGATTCTGCTGCTGTTGCAGTAACTTTCGCTGCGCAGATTGACAAGGTCTAGAGCGAAAGAGCGGAGACGCAAAGTCGCCGTTTCCAGGTGCTTGCTCTGAGCCACGTTTTTCGAAATGATGCCAAAACTACGTGGGGGCTCGCCCTTAGAAACGAGCCACCTGGTGCGAAACAGCAGAAGAGACACAGCAGAGAGAAACACATAGACAAAAAAAATTGAGTTGCCAGTAGGCATATTAAAGAACAGCATCTCCCTTCGGGACACAAATGCTGAAGAGCCTGCATCTGACGAGGAGGCACATACACAAGCTGCTAGTGGCCTACGACTCAACGGGCTTGATACAGCCACGACCACAAATATAACACTAACTGCTAAGGCGATAAAAGCAAGCGCAAGAAACGGCTAAAAAGTAGAAAGGGGGACACAGACATATTGTGACAACGCAAAACAGACCACAAGTAGAGGCACCAAGCACATACATGAGGAAGCCAAGATAGATGTATGCAATCAAAGACACAAATACCCGGGAGAAACCAAGTACAAGAGATGACGGTGCAAACAAATGATTTAAGAAACAAAAACGGGAGCAGCAGCAAAAGCATTAGCAGCAGTAGCAAAAGAAGCAGCAGCGCACTGGTTGAGGATTGCAGCAAAACGAGCTCCCGAGGTGGTGTCAATGGCAATGTCTATATCAGTTGAAGGAAAACCCAACAACTTGTCGCGAACCCAACCTCCTGCTGCTCTCAGCTCTGCAGGAAGCAGCAGAAACAACGGCTCACACTCAGAGCGACCCCCGGTGCGTGTAAGCCTCTCCTACCTCATGCAGCACGATAAAACGCCCAAAAGGCAAAAATGGTTCATGCGGCAACACGAAAAAAAGGCGCGGCAGCTGCAGAGCTCCAGACAGCTCCAAAATTGCAATGAACGACATCTGTGAGTGGACAGAACGGCCGTATTTATTCGAAAGGCAGTCACAACTATACATGTGCATCATTAATCATGAAGCAGCAACTGCAGCCGCGCTGCAATTTCAGCGACAGCAGGGGCAGAGCCATGATTGAATGCAAGAAATGAATTTACCGATATTTAATTGTTGTTCTTCAATGCACTGGTTGAGAAGAGAAAATAAGTCCTCCTCTGCAGGTGTGAGCTGCAGCGTCACCCCTGCTGCAACAGCAGCAGCGGCCCGTGCTGCTGCTGCTGCCACTGCCTCTGCGGATGGCTGCACGAGATCAGGTAAGTCCTCCGCATCGGCATTCTTGGCTTCTTTTGCTTCTGCTGTTCCTGGCGGCACTCCAGCTGCTGAATCTTCTTGGCAGGCAGATGCTGATGCCGCTGCTCTTGCTTTTCCTGCAGTATCAAGGCTAGAGCGAGGCATGGTGCGATTCCAGTGGAAAGTAGTGTGAAAGAAATGGCAGAAAACAGGATGCAGTGTGCCGAGAGAACCTGAAACAGCCGCTACCGCTGCTGCTGCTGCGGCTATAGGTGCCTGATCAAATATCTTTACATGTCCCGAGCTAGCATAGAGGAAAGAAACAGGGGTTTCCCTGCGCATCCACTGCTTTGCGTGGCCGCTGCTTTTGCCGCTGCTGCCGCTGCTGCTGCTCTGGGCGTTGCTAGTGGGAGCAACCAAGTCCAGTAAGCGGAAGCAGTGGTAACTGCAGTGTCCTTTCTTGATGGGCTTACAGCATAAGGACTCCCACAGATGGCTTTTGAATATGGGCCTTGCTGCTTCGATTGGCGGGGAAATGGAACGGATATGGATTAGCCTTAACACTGGAAATAAGAACGGAGAAAGCAGGGCTTGTAGCCACATAGATGCATGCAGCATTAAATTTAAGGAAGAGTGTGGTGCATCACGATGAGTGGCACCATCAGCATATGCTGCTGGTGGGCCCTCCTACCTGCTCGCTGCTGAGATGCATGCGGCAACACGATTTGCAGAGGTGGATGCAGGGAGAAGAACAGAAATTCAGATTTGGGGACGAAACAAAACTACAAAGATGGTGTACGGGCAAACTCGTCCGGCATTACAGCATTTTACACTTGTGGTTTCAGCTGCAGCCAAGGGGCCCCGTCTCGCTCCATTCGGGGGGCCCCCCATCACATGCTTTAGCTTTGTTGTGCAAGAGGGCAGTGCGAACGCATAACTCACAAAAGCTGTCATATTGCAATTCTGAGGTCTGTCTTTGGCATTACTGGTTGCAACTGTGTGAAAGTAACAGCAGCAGGACCCGCCACAGACACAACACGAGTGTCAAGAGCAACTGCAAATGAATTTTCTGCATTCTGAAGGCTACTAGCACAGGCATCCCCCACATAAGTTTTGCAAGAGCTTGAGCATATCTTGTAGAGGGTCATATGTGAATGTTGAATGGGAACTTCGCCGACGTAGTTGCGCAGGCCCATATGATAGCCGCAAGTACAGTGAACTCTGCTGCCCCCACAGGTGTGAGGCGAGCAAACGATCCTGAAGTATTACTTGCACCAGCAGCTCCGGCTGAAGCTATAGCAGATCTACCAGCAGCAGCAGCACCAGGAGCAGCGCCACCAGCAGTCGTGCCACCAGCAAGAACAGCAGCAGCACTGCCACCGCATACAACAACAGCCTTCACACCAACAATAAATGCATCAGAACGGGCAGAAGCAGCCGGACTGGAAGCAGTACCACCAGCAGCAGCGTCACTCTCAGCACCAGCAGCATCAGCAGCGGCGCCTGCGACAGTAGCAGACGCAGAAGAATTGCTGGGACCATCAGCAGCAGAAGTGCCCGCATCAGCAGGAAATGCGTCTAGCTCATCGGATGCAGTTGATAGCCCAGGAGAGTTCTTGCTCTTTTCTTTAGCATGGTTCTTGGTAGCAGTTGCTGCGGGACTCGTTCTCCTGCGGCAGCACAGGCGGCAGCAGCGCGAAAGGTAAACCTCAGGCCTTAGCAAGTAATATTGAAGCAGGTCAGGCATTGTAGGCAGTCCTAGCATCCGCTCATTTTTCGTTTAACTTTTCCCAACAATGCCTTACGGTTTGCGTGGCTTTCCTATACGGGAGGTGTTGCTGTTGGCCGTGCTGCGCGTGCGCAGACAGTGCAGGTTAATGGGGGAGCTCTCTTGAATTTTTGGGCCTCATGCAGACCAACACCCACTCAACGGCTGGGCTTTGGAGAAACGAGGGGGTTGCTCAGCATTTGCGCTGGAAGTGTTCAAGGGACTTTCTTTCTCACCAATGCTGAGGCGCTTGCCTGTATGGCGTTGCAACTCAGTACAAGAACCTAAATAATCTGGACGACGTGTCTACAGAATCTTGCTTTAGCCTTGTGCTCTAGAGCTCCCTGCTTGCGCAGCTGCATCCCCGGTAGTAGCGCTCTTTAGCTGGTTTTTTCTTCACCGGACGGCAGCTTTTCCACGATACACAAAGCCAACCAATCAGTTAATTTGTGACATAAACGCCAGTCTTAAAGTCTACGCTTCAGGGTCTCAGGTTTAGAGTTTGAGGGTGCTGATCACTTATGTAGAGGGGCACAGCTTTTTTGTGGTGGCGTGCCTGCAGCAGCCACAGCCCACGCTGCTGCTGCTGCTCCACGGTTGTCTCCATAGCCAGCAATGCACCTGTTGATGTCTCGATTTTGAGAGTGGTATGCCCACCCACCGCAGCAGCAGCGGTAAGAGCAGCAGCAGTGGCAGCAAATGACCCTTTTTCTCCAGCGGGCAGGCTCTGAGTGACATCTTCGGAAATCTACCTCGGTGGTAAGAGGGGAAGTATCCTGTTGGCGTCGCCCATTTGAAGTCACTATTTGGGACTTCAAAGCCTGTGGCTCTGCCATTTTAGGTGCTATTTGCACTGGAGCTTTTGCACTTGAATCTCTTTGGACCGCTTTTCGGGGAGCCGTAAGCGGCCCCATACAAAAGACTCCAGGGAAGCCATTTCGGTGTTCACCACAAACCTGATGTTGTGCTGTTCCACAAGGAGGCTGTTCGCGGCTGAGAGATACAAAGTTTAGGGAGGGATCGGAAGAACCCCGGGGGTTTTCCGTAGCCCACCGTGAGCTTCCTGTCTTTGCCGCTGCTGATACTTTGGCTCTGGCAATTCTCAGTCTGACAGGGCGCTCCGCCTTAGGTTCATCTTTGACTACTGGCACAGCCATCCTGTTGCCGGTCGAGGCGAGCGTTTTAATGGTAGGTTTTGTAGCTGTGTTTTCCGTGGGGGGAACATGGGCTATGTTGGTTGCTGCTGTTGTCCGAGTCCCTGCTGCTGCGCCACTTCTTGCTGGTGCTGTCCGAGCGGCTACAGTTGCGCCAAATCGTGATGCAACTGCCGCCACTTCTGGTTTTCGTACTGCCTCAGTACCTTCTCCTACTGTTTTTGTCGCTGAGGAGGCTCCTGGTGGCTTCGTACTCGGTGCCGCTGTCGCTGCCTTAGCCGAATCGCTTGCTGCTCCAAGGGCAGCTATTCCTCGTGGCTCGCATCCTTTTCTTTGTCTTGTTGCAGTACCAGGTGGGACCCAGTTGCTGCTGATGCGCCTCCTGGAGGGGCTGAGGCAGAATGGTCTGCAATAAGCGAACAAGGGAAGCAGGAAGAAACGCTAGATGGGGCTGTCACGCGCTTCGGATGCTGCGTGTGAGCCTGCCTGCTGCTGGCTTTGGGGAGCTCCCGCGAGTGCTTTCTGTGCACGCTTTGGTACGCACCCCAGTCTGCTGACAAGAGCAGCAAAGCGAAGGGTCTGCAGTGTAGCATTTCTGTCAGCCGCTTTGCTGCTGACGGTAAAAACCATGGAAACGTGGCCACAGCCATCCTGCAGCGGCAGCATCAGCGGCCACAAACCAATCAAGAAATACTCGGAGAGATCATCGCTGAGAGCTTAAAAAAATGTACAGTGATTTGCTCACAGCCATGCCAGCCTTTGCTATAGGGTCCTCACCAGTACATCTCTAAGAGCTAGCGTTAAACACGAATCCCTGAAGCGTACATGGGGGCCGTATTTGGTTTCAGACCGGCTTGAGCAGGGACCTTCAAGAGGCTCCTCGGCAGTTCCGAGCCCGGATTGCAATGAGCTCTTGTCAGTACTACTCATCAGCTTGAATACGCCAGCTGAGCTAGACAGATCACTTGCTATCCTAAACGGTCCCACCTGCAGCCGCAGGGGAAGAAGACAATCGACAGAGCAGCCCGGCGCTCTGCTCTTTTGCCTAGCAACAGCACAGTGTCTCCCCAGCGCTGCGACGACGGCCATAAAAGCTGTCAAGCTTTTGCTTATCGATGCTGCCTGAATAGACACCAGGAAACGGGAGGAATGCACATGATACACCATAAAATGCCTATGTGACAATGCCAAACGGTTATTAAAAAGGTCCAAAGGCTCGTTCAGAAGGTCTTGAGTTATCTTCTTCGGGCCTTCCCTAAGCCCACCGATGGATTCTACACTTTAGAAGCCCCCAGTGCTGCGTCGACGTGACTCGGGTGCTTCCTTCTAGCCAAGCGCTTCTTTTTTGGGGCTCAATAGATCTATTGTTGCAGGATTACTTTCGAGACAAGTCATTCATCGTAGTGTGCCCATTATTGGGGGTCCTGAATCTCACTTCTTGGGCAAGAAGGGCCTTTGACGGTGCCGGTGAGGGGTATAAGGAGTTTTCGCCGTCAGGAGCATCACAGCATTCCAAAGGCTGACGCTCGGCACCAGCGAGGTCCACCAGGTACAGACAAGACTTCTTTTTCTGTGTATCCTGATCGCTCACGCAGCTTATTGCCAAATTACGCTGGCGCTGGCGGACGCCGCAAAACGCCCAGTAGGTGCACCACGGACCCTACCTCTGTGGGCTCCTTGCATTTTGAACGGCTTACCGGGTGGTTCACGGAAAGACAAAGTAAAACATGACTTCTACTGCTGTAACGGTTAGCAGCTGTAGCACGACAGACCCTTCGACTGAGGGCCCTTAATGCAGCGGCAACAGCATCTTCCGCCGTAGTAACCCGAACGGATGAGACAGCAGAAAAGCCTCCACTACGCCACTGAGGCACAGTAAAGCTCTTCGAAGAATACCCCTTCTAAGAACACACAGAAAGGACAGTCTACGCTGACGGTCAGAATTTGCTGTGTTCCGACAAGCCCGTACCTGTACGAACCCACCTGCTGAACAGCTGCATTTTCTTTTAGGTCGCCAGGAGGCCTCAAAAGGTCCCTCAGCTTTTCGCAGTAGACCTCAGCAGCAGAGAACGTCACTAGCCTAAGGATGTCGCAACGCAATATTGGGACTTCGTAACGCACCAGCAAATAGGCAAGCGACCAGAGCTTGCAGAAGCGCGCAGTGGTGCATGAGCGAGCTTGGAAAATGGAGCTTTTCGGGCTCTGCTTTGCAGACTGAAGGAAGAAAGCCTACCCTTGCGGTATCCCTTCTTTCTCCCCAGCTACAAGAGCATTCATCACATACTCCAGTGCTCGCAAGGCAAGGCCCCAATTTTTGCTGCCATCAACACCCCTGCTGCTGGCGCACCGGTGAAAATGACTAGGGTTCCTTCCGTGGGGCCCCACCATCGTGTACGTCTTTCCGCTGCCCGAGGCTCCATACCTGCGTCGCAAAGAAACTGAAAGGAGATGACTATTCATGCCTTACATGGTGTGATGTGTAATCTGGACCCTAAACCGTTGGGCTTACTGGGGCTGGAACGCTAAGCCTCAGCTCACATGGCGATGCAAGCATTGGCGCCCCCCAGCACAGCGTCTGCTGCGGGTCTTCCTACAGACTGAAACACTGTTTCCTGAGATGTGTCCTGCAGCAGCAATCCTCCGAATCGAAAGGGGCCCTCGTAATCCTTTTGCCCCGAGGGAGATCTGGGACAAAATGCCGGCTGCTCTGAGCGTTGGTGGCGTGGCGGAGCTGCCACAGAAGCGGTTGTGGTGGTCAACTTGGGCTTCTGCACTTTCGAGCCATACTGCACAGATGAAATTTGAGAGCCTTCATGTTGTGGCCTGCTTTGGCTGACCCTCGAGGCAGGTCTTTCAGCTTTTCTCCATGTGTTAGTGGGCTTGGACCCAAGCGGTGGCAGCACTACAACTGATGCTGCACGATGCACAGAAGGAATATGAGTACAAATTATTCTGGTTTGGGGGTTCTGAAAGTTCTTAAGGCAGTTTTCTGCCTCTTTCTCAGAAAGATTTGTATGGGCCCGGCTCCTCCCTGAGGCAAGCGATACGACGCCTTTCAGACCATTCAGCTTATCTCCTGTGCATGTAAGGGACCGTGGTGACCCGGTATACCCTCGTTTTATGATGCCTTCCACGGCTGATCCAGTCGGGAGCGATCCATGGAACTGTTGTGCACCCTCTACAGCGGTTACTTCTGCTATGGACTGGGCCCGCGACAGCAGCGGGCAAGAAGGACTCACATCCACACACTGTATGCATTGTGGAGCTTTCGAAGACGAGGGGGAAGGGGGACGTATCCGTAGGAAGGTGTGCATCCCTGTGTACAGCGCACATGCGAGGCTCGTGGCCTCCGGAAAAGACGTTAAGCGCACCAACACACTTGAGTGGCTCTCCAAGACACAAATGCCTATAGGAGACGCCTTTTTACTTGACAGAGCATCCCCTGGCACCCGGCAGTTAAAGGAACTCAAAGTTTAACGCGTACCAAGACAGCAGCAGCAGCAGCTGCCGCTGCTGTCCACACGCGCTTGACAACAGGGCGTTTACACAAGGACTACTGACTTAACATCACAAACACACAATAAAAAAACAGCCTTCACGAAAACTTCAACTAGAGGGGTCAGTCCGCCTGGGTAGCCACTGGACCACCCAGGAGCCCCAAGTGGACCTCTGCAGTTGCGAAACCGAAACCGGTCAACATAATGGACGAACTCCATTTACGAAGATGGAACCTAGTGTTTCGAATACTGTACAATGATTATTCGAAATATAAAGAAGGAGCAGACGGGAGTTCATCCCATCCTGCGTCCCGGGGGATTGCCATCCTGAAGCGCATGATGGGACTATGAGGTGTAACCCAAGGTATCCCCGGATTTCACTGTTCTTCTGCTTGAAGAATACATTAAATAGTTCATATGATTTATTACTGAAAACGAGAAGAAGTTAAAGCAACCAGGCCGCCATCCAGTGGCTGTGACCGGTCCCAGTTCCGGCGCAGCCGAACAGAGCTGCAGCAGCAGCATTGCACATTGGACCAGCATCTAGAGGGCAGAAACGCATATTTCAGCAGAGCGAAGCCCTTCTGAGTAACTTCCATTTTTCAGGTGCAAATGGTTCTCATCTTTGGAGCAGAAACAGCCAGTTACAGTCGAGTTGCGCTAGAAGCTGTATATGCGGGAACCATCACAAGAGCTGCAAGTACAGAAAGTAGTGCGGGCAATCTAAGCACGCAAGGCATATCTCTCCTTCGGAAGTCACTGAAGGAGCCTGGACGAAGAAATCTCACGCAGTGTCCAGACACCACAGGTCAGACACTTCCATGATGAGCGGGATCGACGAAGATGTTGCTGTGCTTTTACCAGAGCGTTAATAAATTTTCTCAACACGGAGAACCTGCAACAAGCAACAAAACAGCGGAGCAGCGGTGTGGGGCTAACACATCACTGAGACTGCTGCTTACACAGCTCAGCTCGATCTACGGATGCCTACACACAGGGCCCATTCGGAGGGCCCAAAGCTTTTTGTCTTTCAGTACCTGGACATCATTTATCGCTCCTGGGATAAGTGCGACACCGCCAAGCGCTGCTGTTGCTGCCAAGGAGTAGAACACATATCCCCACCTGCAAGGCCAAGGGCAAGACAAACACTATTTGTCGTACAGCAAGAGTGCTTTTACCGTAGTGCTTCGAAGCTTAAATGCCTCAATTGTTTGACAGAAGATGATATGGGTCGCAAAGTACCCAGCCTTTAGATGCCACAGGCACATACCCATACAGAGAAAGAAGTGTTGGAGTCAGAAGGCCCTGCACAATGGAGCCAACACTTCCAGATCCGTTAACTATACCTGCAGAATCAAATTCATCATAAGCACGCATGGCGACAGAAAAACTTTCAGCTGATGCAACTACGGTAACAGCGAGCTGTGTAATACGTCCACCTCTTCTGACGCTATCACGTTTCCGACTCGAAACAACCCTCTGCAGACTTCGCCCTTAAGTGCTCTTCTCATTTCTGTGCCTTCACGTTCGTCTATGCCTGCATCTGTCTGTTTCCATATTTTCTGAGCTTTTGGCTGTGCCTGTAGCAGGGCCGGGAAGAGTCCCGTATTTTGAAGCCCACAAGATGCTGCAGCTGCTAAGACCTCATCGGAGGCTCCTGCCTCCTCCGCGCAGGCATCAGCCGTTGCTGCTCCCCCTAGAACTGAGTCCGGAGCTGCAATGGCTGCTCCAGCAAGCAGCAATGCTGCTTGCGGGACAAGAGAAAGATCTTCGGGGGGACCCCAAAGAATAGAGTAGTGCAACAACGCCACTGAAGCTCCAGCAACACAACAAAGAGGAGAAAGCAGCAGCAGGCGACGGCCCCGCAGGTACCTGTCGGACAGCCAGCTGAGGCACAAGCAACCACACCGGCCCAACCAAAAAAAGACTGCCACAGCTTGAGTCTACAACTGGAGGCAGTTCACGCACACAAAGCTAAGTAAAAATAACACTCGTCCCTGTGAAGAAGGCCTAAGCAGCATGCCCTACATCCCAAATCACGAATCCCTGGCCAAAAATGCAAGTTTTGTGCTACTGCGTGACGACTTGCAGCGTACCCAACAGCAACTGATCCAAAGACACCTCCAACATCGAAGTAGATGCAGTAGAAGGCTGCGTACACACTCCCGCCTCGACCCTTTGGCCCTCAACCCCAGCCTATCATGCACTACGTATCCCAAATCTTCTGCACTGTGTATCCTAAATCTCCAGTCTCACACCCTTGGGTCACACCTGCCGCAGACGCAGTCAGTCCTGCTTGTTTTTCCAAGTAGTAGGGGAGCCAATAAAGAAGAGAGTATCTGACGAGCTTTACGCAGAAGTAGGCGGCGCAGAGCCTCCGCAAAGTAGCAAATCCCAGTACCCGCGAGAACAAGGCCTTCTGCTGCTCCTCAACCTGCTGCGCGGACCCAGCCTTCACGGAAGCGGGGCCTGCAGGGGCTCTGCGAAGGCACCGTCCGAGAAGAATGGCACAGCCGAACACCCAAATCGCGGGTACGAGGAAAGCAAGACGCCACCTGCGGGTCTCCTTGTTGGAATGCCCCTGGAATAAGTCCTCAAACGGAGCAGCCAGCACATTAGCAGGCTGAGCAGACAACAATTCAGCCGTTAGGTAGCTAGCGAAGATGCTTCCGACTTGCTGACATGTTGTCCAAACGCCTAATGAGCCAGGCAGACACGCAGAAGGAATGAACGAACAGTCGAGGAAGGGAAGCCGCTACAACAAAAACCAAGTTAAGGGGACCCGAATCTACAGAAGCACAAAGTGGCACATTTGCTGCTGTTGCTTCTGCTCTTACCGAGGATCCCCCCACGCTCCCTGCTGGAAAGCCAGGACGACAAAGTGGCCACGGTGAGAGGAAACGCCAGAGCCTGGGCAGCCCCGTTAATGCCCCAGAGCAACAAAATAGATAGGAGAGACAAGTGCTGATCTGGGAGCAGGTAAATAAGGAAGCAGCAGCATGAGCTTACAGCATACGCAGCTGAGAGGATGGTGGTGCACGTGGGGCCCCTCGGGTTCCCGAGCAAGGCGGGGGCAAGCAGCAGCTGTGAAGCCGCGTAAGCTCCCAAGAAAGCGCTGTCTACACCTCCCAACGCTGTAGCAGTGAACCCTAGCTGCAGCTCCAATTCTCTCTTGCACGATGCAAACGGTTTGCGGGTCAAATATAAAGAAGCGTAGCAAAAGTACGTTAGCAGCAGCTGAGCCAGCTTGCCCTCAGAAAGCCGGCTGCTGCTGCTCGTGTTGCTGCTGTTGCTGCTGTCGTTGTTGCTGCGGGTGATTTCGCGGCTGCTCTGTGCTTGATTTCCTAAGTCTGAGGTTGCTTCACCACGCTCACTCTGCTCAGGCCTCGATGACGCATGTACCAGCCGTCTGCTGCTGCGTTGCCTTGTCACTCCTGATGTCGCAGCTGCTGCTGTGCGTCTGTTTGAGCTGGAATAAGGCTCACGAGGTGTGACATTTGATTTCTTACTGTGTGCGTCAGCCTTCTCGGCGTTCTCTGCTTCGCTTTCATCGTCGGAGTTGCCCATGTTGCTCATACCCCTCACGAAGGGAAGGGGCCCCGTCTGCAGTCTGTCTGCCAGAATGCCCCCCTTGTACAGCGGCCTCTCTGTAGTAGTATCTCTACCTCGGCCTGAGACTCTGGAGTCCCCCAGCACTTCAGCCTTACTGGCTAGCTGGACTCGTGGTGCTGCCGCCCTTCTCCCTCCGGCTGCTCGCGGCGAATGGTCGGGAGAAGCATCAGCCATGCGACCTTTAGCTCGGGCACCCTTCTGGGCAGGGGAGGGAGTCCCCCGCTTTTTCGCCGAGGGTGCGTTTGGCTTGGCGGCGGCCGTACGGGGGCTTCGACCAGTGGGGGCTTTCCCTGCTCCCGCTGCACCAGCAGTTGCACCTGAGGGCACTGCTTCTGGTCCTGCTGGAGAGGTGACGGTGCCCTGTCTTGTTACAACCATTGCTGATGCTGCTTAATTTGTTGCTGCTCCCTCGACGGAGATGCTGGGGGGCCCCTGAGCTGGATAGAGCAACAAACTGGGACCGTTCCCCGCTGTATCAAGCATGCACCAAGATGAGAAAGCCGTTTTGATGCTAGTTTAGCAAATTTTTTCCTTTACAGGCCCTCGTTTCACACGTACCCGTGAATCTCAGGGCCTACCTGTCTTGAGGTTTGTACCAGCTGGGGCCCCCTTAGTGTCGGATCCCAAAACTGCCAGGAAAAAGTACTAATCAGACGAAAATATATTATTTTTTTCATCGTTTTTTATTTTTCTGTTTACTCCTTTTTCCCGCTGTTTATCATGAGTACCCCCGTTAACATCCCACGCACTACTTATTAGTGTGCAGCATGCGAGCCACGTTATTAAGACGAAAGGCCTTGTCAGCTATGCTTGCTAAAGAAAGATAAGAAACAGCTCTTTTGGGGGAAATGAAATTGGGGGGAACAACATGCCTCATTTTACTGCAAGGGCTGCACCTACGGAAAACGGTGAGCTGCATTAGAGTCGTTGGCGTCCTTGGAATACCACGTTTAATGTAATGACGTCCGTATCCCGTTTATTGAAATTAATCGTAAGTAGTCACACCTGTAATAAGGCAAGGCGGCACCCGGGAGTAGCGTAGACAATATGGAGACGCAAGCCTGAGATTGTTGCATTAACACGCTACCGTATGGAAAGGTACATTTTTGTCCCTAAAGCAGTAACTGAGTACTCCTACATGGTTTCTGGACTGGAAAACACCACAGTGGCGTCATAACAATGGTTTCGAGCTTCTTTGTTGCCCG